CTATCATGTCCCCCCTCGTCCTTCTCTTTGTTAAACTAGACATACCCAATTCCAGCAACTGTTCCTTATATGTTTTAGCCTCCAGTCCCCTAATCATCTTTGTTGCTCTTCTCTGTACTCTTTCTAGAGTCTCAACATCCTTTTTGCATCGTGGTGACCAAAACAGGATGCAGTATTCCAAGTGTGGCCTTACCAAAGCATTGTAAAGTGGTATTAATACATCACGTGATGTTGATTCTATCCCTCTGTTAATACAGCCTAGCACAGTGTTGGCTTTTTTGGCAGCTGCATCACACTGCTGGCTCATATTTAGGTGGTTGTCCACTAGGACTCTGAGATCCCTCTCACAGTTACTACTATTGAGCAAGGTACCCCCTATACTATACCTGCACATTTGGTTTTTCTTGCCTAAATGTAGAACCTTACTTTTTTCACCATTGAATTTCATTTTGTTAGATAGCACCCAGTGTTCAAGTCTGTCCAGATCCTCCTGTATCCTAAGCCTGTCTTCTGGAGTGCTGGCTATTCCTGCCAGCTTGTTGTCGTCTGCAAATGTGATATGTTCCCCATCTATCCCCTCGTCCAGATCATTGATGAAGATGTTGAAGAGCACTGGGCCCAGAACAGAGCCCTGGGGCACCCCGCTACACACTTCCCTCCATGTAGATGCGGTTCCATTGAGGACCACACACTGAGTACGGCCGGTCAGCCAGCTATGGATCCATCTGGTGATACTGTCTAACCCGCATTTTTCTATCTTCTCAAGTAGTAGGTTGTGGTCTACTTTGTCAAATGCCTTACTGAAGTCCAAGTAAATTATATCTACAACATTCCTCTGGTCCACTAATTTTGTCACTTGGTCAAAGAATGCAATAAGATTTGTCTGGCATGATCTGTTTTTGACAAACCTGTGTTGGCTTTTAGTAATGACTTTGTTTGCCTGTAGGTGTTCGCTGATTCGTTGTTTGATTATCTTTTCCAGGATCTTCCCAGGTATTGAGGTCAGGCTGATAGGTCTGTAATTTCCTGGGTCCTTTTTTTTTTCCTTTTTTGAAGATGGGAACGACATCAGCTCTTTTCCAGTCCTCTGGTAGTTCCCCAGTGCTCCAGAATCTTTGAAAAATATAGTTCAATGGTTCTGAAATTACATCTGCCAGTTCCTTAAGAACCTTGGGGTGTAAACCATCTGGTCCTGGTGATTTGAACTCATCTAGGCTGGACAGGTGTTCACTTACCATTTTCTTGCCTATCTTAACTTGTATTTCTATTTTGTTTTTTATGGCACTATTTTTGATAGGTTGGTCTGTTTTTTCCCTTTGTGTAAAGACAGATGCGAAAAACGAGTTAAATAGTTCTGCTTTCTCCCTGTTAGTTGTCACCTTCTTACCACTTTCACCCACTAATGGACCAATCGTTTCCTTCACTTTTTTCTTGTTTTTTACATGTTGAAAGAAGCTTTTTTTCTTATTTTTGACTTTGGTTGCAAGCCTTAGTTCTTTTTGAGCCTTAGGTTTCCTCACTTCATCTTTGCAGGCTCGGGATATTTGCTGATATTCTGCCTTAAGTTATGTGTCCCTCTTTCCACTTTCTATACTTGTCCTTTTTATCTTTCAATTGATCAGAGAGTTCTTTATGCAGCCATGCTGGTTTCTGTTGAGAGCTGTTGTTTTTCCTCTTTGTTGGTATTGTGCTAGACTGGGCCTTTATTATCTCACTTTTCAAAATTTCCCAAGTGTCTTTAGTTGTTTTCCCCTGGAGGATTCTCATCCATGGAATCCTTCCCAAACCCTCTCTAAGTTTATTGAAATTAGCTCTCTTGAAGTCCAAAACTCTAGTTTGATTGTGTTCTATTACTTGTGCTTCCATAATGTTGAATTCCAATATTGCATGATCACTTCCTCCCAAGGTTCCTATGGCTTCAACATTTCTATCATTTCATCTCTGTTAGTGAGAATTAAGTCCAAAATGGCTAATCCCCTAGTTCCCTTCTCTACTTTTTGGGAGACAAAGTTGTCTGCTAGGTTTGTCAGGAATCTGTTTGATCTTCCAGTTAGTGCAGAGTTTGTCTCCCAGTTGATGTCAGGGTAGTTAAAGTCCCCCATTACTATTGTGATGTGCTTCCTACATATCTTAGTTAGCTGACTAGCAAAAAGCTCATCTATTTCCTGTGTTTGGTTGGGTGGCCTATAGTATATACCTATGGCAAACACTTTCCCACACCGAGCCTGGGAGCCTTGGAAGAGATTCAGAAGTGGCCAGCAGCCCAGTGAGTCAGAGAATCCATGCAGGGCATGCTCGTCCTACTCTCCCTGTGCTCTCATGGGGAGCAGACAAAGAAACAGGCTGGAGAGGAGACAGGTCTTCATAATGCAAGTGACCCGGCATGGCAGGATGATGGGGAGAGCAATTGTGGGGACCCCAGCTAAGGGAGAATGAGGTATTTTAGTGGGTCAGGGGAGGCCTTGGTGGTCTGAAGCAGGTGGCCAATTCCATCACTAGCTCCTCCATGGTCTTCCCCACCCTGAGATACCTCATGTTCACTTAACAAACTGTGCAAATTAGAAAATGTGTGGGCGATAGTAGGGAGTGATCACATTCAAAGTATGAGATTCATTCCTACGAATCCTTGAGGTATGAATGGAATGGGCAGGCTCCATTCCATTCGTAACTCAAGGACTACCTGTAATCCATTACTGTGCAATGTGAAACAAAATTGTAATTATCTACATATCATCTACAGTTTCTTATCACATCATGTCCAGTAATATATAGGTCTATACAACAACTTATCTCCCTATATTTATCTTTATTTTATTCTACTTTATTTTCCAAACAGTAATGAGCCAGTGTATTGCCATTTTAAAACAATTTTCTTAACATTAATGGCTACAGAACACAGAATGTTTTAAAGGACAGAAGATTCCATAGGCCTTCTCTAATGTCTTATTTATTTATTTATTTTGTTTTGTGCTTATGTTTTTTCTTCCTACTCTTGTAATAATACTCTGCATTAAACCATATAAGTTCAATAATAATTTCTTTTTAATGGTAAACAAATTTTTGGAATCTCTTCAGTTATGCCTAAAACCATATAGTTAATTTTTGCTTAATAATTTTATGTGAGATTGCTATTATTAATAGGGAATTCTGCATTTTTATATATATTCTTCTATTAAGATAGAAATGCCACTGAACAAACCTTTATGTTTATCCATTCCCTTAAAGCAGACATGTCAAACACAAGGCCCGCAGGCCAGATACGGCCCGTGAAGTGGTTTCATGTGGTCCACAAAGCCATCCTGGAAACAGTGAGGGAACGGCCCCCGCTGCCTTGACCCTAGCCCATGTACAATTTTGTGGTGGCCATCTATGCTGAAACGCATTCAGTCTTAGCTCCACAAGGCCATCTGGAAACAGCGAGGAACCAGCCCCTACCATGTCTGCCCCGCCCCCTGGGTGCATGCTGGGGAGGTGTTACCCTTTGTGAGGAATGAAGAAATGCACCATCACCTGGAAGTGGCCAGCAAATTGCCCTTGTCTACTTCACATATCCGGCTTGATGGGCTCTGGGGGAAGGGTTTTGGCAGGCAACGGGACGCTCTCCTCACAGCGCCAAGAACTGAGCCAGGTGGCGTGACTCTGATGAGAAGTGCAATGCTGCCTAGCCCCCAGCCTGCCCAGTTTCAGCAGGCAGCAAGGTGCAAAGCTGGCAAGCTTCGCACTGCCTGGCTCAACCTCTCAGCGCTGTGAGGAGAGGGCCGCACTGCCTGCTGAAACTGGGCAAGCAGGGGGTTGGGCGGCATTGTGCAAGTAACATTGACTCTCATGCTGCTCATGGCATCCCCTCCCCCAGAGCCCACCAAGCCAGATATGTGAAGTAGGTGAGGGCCATGTGCTGGCCACTTCCAGGTGATGGTGCATTTCTTCATTCCTCACAAAGGGTGACACCTCCCCAGCTGCGTTTCTTGCCTATTTTTCTCCCTCCCTCATCTCAAATATTTTCCCACCAATCTGTACTTAGGAAGGAAAGAAAGAAGGAAAGATGGAAAGATGGAAAGAAGGAAAGAAGGAAAGAAGGAGAGGGAGGGTCTGAGGGAAGTCCTGCCTTAGTCCTGCCCTGCTGTCCTTTCACCATCCCCTTGCCCCCTCCTCCTGGCCTATCCTGGCCTAAAAAAACTTTGGATACAAAGCCGGGTCTTCTCCCATGGAGAGGGAATGGGCCTCCCTCTAACTATGCCCTCATACCCCTCATGAGCAACCTGGCTAAGGAGAGCAAGCACAGCAGCAGCAGCCTTGAGGAGGAGATAAGTGCAGCTGGGCACCCCCTTGGGGAAGATTTGGTGCCGTGAATGCTCAAGAGCCAGGCTGGGCATTTGACCTCTGCTGCCCAGGGCTCTGGGCAGCCCGCACCACCATCCCGCCCCCCCCGGCATGGCCTGAGAGGAACAATGAGGCTCCTCTAGTGGACCATGCCTTGGCACTTGCCCTGGTCCCACCCCCTTCTGCCAGAGACCCTCAGATCTGTCCCACTCCTGCCCAGGCTCCCACAGGCACCCTTGATGTGAACAATGTAGAGCTGGCCACGCCCACCTAGTAGGCCACACCCACTCCATCCATGCCCACCCAGTAGGCCACACCCACCCTGGCCACCCTCCCACCCCAAGGGAAACCGCAATGCTGATGAGGCCCTCAATGAAATTGAGTTTGACACCCCTGCCTTAAAGTGATGTACTGTAAAAATGCTCATGTAAATTAAACATTGATACAAATTAGATGCCACAAAATGTGCTTAAATGGTAGAAAAAACATACCCATTTGACTCTTGGAAAACTACACATAAAGCTTCATTTTCTACATGATGCAATATTAATGTAACACAGCCTTGTTTTTCTCCTATTAATCAAGTCTTTAAAATTGACAGAAACTTGTACAATAAAAATACAATGGCATAAATGCAAAGATAAACAAATAAGGAATGAAAAATAAATGTTTCTACATACTTGTAGGCCCATCTGAAATACTGAATGACCCATAAAATTAGCCAGCATTCGAATTAAAGCAGCACCCTGCAAACACAATTTAAAAAAAAAATGAGTTGTTATCCAAGTAGTTTCATGGTAATATATGAAATGTACAATTATTCCAGTATTTATTTCAGAATAATTTATTATTAATTACATTTAGAATTATCCCTCAAAAGTATTTGACTTAAACATTTTAGAAGCTATATGCTTCATTATAAGCTTTGTTGGGGGAAAAACAGAAACAAAAATGAAGTTATGAACATACAGAAAATGGAGTTATTTTCAAACAGAGCTACTAAACCTATACCTTACTGATTTGAGTGCAACAACATGAAACAGTATGTTATAAAAGCACAATATTTCTCTTCCCTACTATTGATTGTTCATAAGCATATCTTTGAATGAAATAATTTAAGTATAACATATTGAGATTTAATGCATAACAAAGACAACTAGTTCTACAAGAGTAATCAGTACAAATGAAATACTATTGTTCAGATTTAAAACACTGTTAAGTCCAGGATTTTTTTATGGTTGAACAACAAGCACCAGAAATTTAATTTTAGACATACAAATATATGTTTGGACAAAACATATGCCCTCTTTTAGTGCATCTCATGATTGCCAATGATTTTAATTTAACAGGAAACATACATACTCACAGTTTAGTTGGAGTTAGGGTTAAAGATATGGATGAATATCTTTTGCTCTGGATAGAATGAAGTTTCAAATGGGTGAAGCAATCTAAATCAATTTTAGAGCTTATATTACAGTTTTCATGTTTTTGCACTAATAATGTTTTACCATGTTGATAAATACTGCATTTGGCATTTACTCTCCATATTTAATATATATCTATAAACGTCAATATATATCCAAGGCTGTAATTCTAAGATCAGTATTTGAATGGGAAAATAGTAAGAATTTTAATGAAACTTCAGAATTTATCAATGCAATTTACAGTAAGTATAGGTAACCAGGAATAATCAAAATGTTTTGGATTATTGTGCCTATATTATATAATTTTATTCTAGAGGACATTTGCTAGCCTCCATGCTGCCATTTTAAATGGCTTGTTTATACATCTGCATGTTTCTTGAAGCCCAATGGCTCTCTGATGATTAGGCTAGACCTTAAGACTGACTTTTTGAAATGAATTGTTAAAAATAACATGCAATAGAGATTTGTGATTTATGGGCCCTTCCAGTGAAGATGATGGCATATAGAAGATTCTAGTTCAGAATGAGAGAGACGCAAATAATAAAGAATATGAAGTAATGAATGAAATGAATTGGTATGTGTAAAAATATGAGGGAGGGAGGATATATCAGGTCTGAAGAAGACTGGCCTAATCTTGTGAATTAATGTTGATTAACACATACAGAGAATTGAATATTTAGGCTTAATTATTTAATTAAAGAGCTCAAATATGTATCAAAAACTATAAATTAGTATCACCTAATTTATTAGGAGCTCATTTGACAATAGGAAATCATAGGGTGTGATGGTGCCACAAATTTAATGGAAAGTATGCAAGAGTTTGCTGGAGAAGACTCCTGCGAGTCCCTTGACTGCAAGGCGTTCAAACCGGTCAGTCCTAGAAGTGATCAACCCCGACTGCTCTTTAGAAGGCCAGATCCTGAAGTTGAAACTCAAATACTTTGGCCACTTAATGAGAATGAAGGACTTGCTGGAGAAGGGCCTAATGCTGGGAAAGATTGAGGGCAATAGAAGAAGGGGACGCCAGAGAATGAGATGGCTGGATGGAGTCACTGAAGCAGTAGGTGTGAACTTAAATGGACTCCAGAAGATGGTAGAGGACAGGATGACCTGGAGGAACGTTGTCCATGGGGTCGCGATGGGTCGGACACGACTTCGCAATTAACAACAACAACAATGCAAGAGTTTATAAAAACCAAAATCTGAGAAATGCAATGTGGTATTATGCTGGGGACAAAATGCAGGCCCTTTCTCCTTAGTTATGAGAAATGTTTCAGCCATGTTTCCTTTTCTTTTTTCTTGCCCTTTAATTTCTTTATCTTACTATTTCCTACTCCTCTTCTGCAGTCTGTATTTCAATGCTTTACTCCCAAAGGGAATAGCATGATGAATGCATTATATATCCAACATGTTGAAATTCTGAATATTTTTTTCCATATCAAACCCACTAATTTTATAAACTTAATATCCTATAAATATCCTATGTGTTTTATTACATTAAAATAATATCTGCCCTATTTCATGTCACAAAGCATTCTCCAAGTCCTGAAGATGAGTTGAATTTGTAATTACTAATACTCTCTTCCATAAAGTTTGGTAGACACTAAGGCTACCATTCCATGGATCACAGGATAACACAGCCTGGAGCTGCTGAGCCATATGTATATGTATAGTATAGTTTTCTCTTTCTTACTCTAGTCATAGCATTCTCTTACTGTTTATATTTTTCAACCTAGAGCAACACCAAAGCAATATGTGACTATTCTTTCATTTCTACTAAAATTGTATAAATAAAATGTTAAGTAAAATTGTATAATTTTATAGTTTGGAATAAAAAATAATTTAATTTTTGGAAACTCATACTGCCCTATGGTTGAAACACATTTTTTTAAAAAGGACAATAGTTGCAAAAGACACATACAAGAACCTTTATGTTATGTTTGCCCTTCAAATAACAAGTAACAAACAATACTCAAATCCCTTTTACAAATTAAAAATTTGTTGACATAGGCAGACACAGCTGGATGCCAATATGAAATTTAGCTTATTAAGAAATTCACAGCATGAATTAACATTAGAGAACAAACTATGTCAAGCTTAGATCATAAAATGACACTTAAAATACTCTCATAAAATGAGGAAAATAAATTTGAAGTGCTCTTGTGAATTGCCTTAAGATATATTTTGGCCTATTTTAATTTTAAACAAATACACCAGGAAGCTTCAATAGTGTCAATGTGAATTCTATGTAATATATTTGAATTCTGATGTTTAAAGTGATAGCAGCTTAAAGCTACAATATTAAATATAATAATTCTTACTGAAGTGTGGACTTCAACTCCCAGAAATCCCAAGTTAGCATACACACATATTAAAATCGCTGAGGTTGAGAAACATTGCTCTAAAGCAAACTCCCATAAACTAGTATTCTCTAGAAGTGCTAGACTACCTGCTAGAATTCTCAGCCAATATGAACAGTAATTATGACAGGAAGAATCTCTGAGAATTATAGTTCCAGTTTATCTGAGATAGTTATTAGGAAAAATAATTAGGAAAAGTCAGAAAACCCTATATGTTTCAAATAGGATTTGTATAGATACAAATTAGCAGGGAAAATGAGATTAGGAGCACGTGTTGATTTTCTTGCAGTACATTACAAACATCTTAAAGCAGCAATATCTTTTCCTGGGCCTGTACAATTATTGTACAACGATAGGAAATGGTTTTATAATCCCTTTGAAAACTGTTTTTGCCTTTTTAATTCTAACCTTTGCACAGCCCCAGTATCCAACTAAAATAGTATGACTGAAGGAAAAAAAACCTGTGGGCTTTACCTATTAGTTTTGTGACTTTACAATAAATACATAGGGTAAATTCCTTGATAAGAAAGCATTAGCAAGCAGATAGTTTTTCTTTTAAAGCAGTACTTTATGTTTACACCCCTCTGTCTACATTAGCTTTTTAACAAATGGAAATTTGGACAAGCACTGAAAACAAAAAGGGGAAAGTATCTCAAGTGCCAGTAGAATATTTCATTACATAGAAATATAATAGTTTTTTGTAACATAAAATATTTTAGTTCAAACTCTATACAGTAATTTCCTATTGGCACTTAGTGTATATTAGCTCTTCAATTATCATACTTGTAACTATTACTTGAGTTGCAAAGTCATTGATTTGATCTCTTATCTGCCTTAGCCACATGCTAAAGATTTTAAGGAGTTTAAAAGAAGACTGTAAAAAAATATATTCCTTAGGCACATGCCATAAATCTGAATTTCTCATGTGTCAGAATGAAGTTTTAAGCACAAGCCAGAAATGAAGAATTTGAAGAATATCATGCAGTCTCTTCTGACTCTGGGGAGAATGGAAATACTTGTCAATACAGTCTCCTAATCTGAAGTAGGTATTTACAAAGATAACTGGGTTTGTCGTCTTCCAGGTATGCTTACTACTAACAAAAAGGCTAATATTCTCACAATAGAGTGCATGGATGAATTTATTATTACAGTAAATAAAATGTTTGCATGGTTTTCCTGAAATGTATATTTACGACACTAGGAACTCTGCCAATATTTCACAAAATGATAGAAGCTTCCTTTGCTGGAATAGTTAAAGAGAATGGTTTGTGATTTATCTGAGAAAATGTTGAGAAATCCATCATATAAAGAATGAAAAAAAATGCAGCTTTGCCTCCTGGTACAGTTTACAGTACTAAACAATTTATCTCTGGGATAGATGTTGACATGCTAAAGAGAAAATAAATCTTTGAGAAAATGATCAGATGAGGAAACTTCATGAATACAATCTGACAGTATACCTGGAGGAAGCAAGTCCATATTTTATATTTATATATCATGCTTGTAAAAGATAAACTCCTCTAAGACAGTACAATTATTAAAAATACAAGCAATGAGTTCAGATATATATATTAAGGATATATATATCCTTAAAAACATTAAAAATGCAAATTCTGGGTATACACATATCAATAAAAATATAGAAAAACGAACACCAGGATAAAAATAAACAAGATCGTTTAATATAAACAAGCTTGTAAGTAAAAGAGTTACTGAGCTTTCGTTGGCCAGACTGCCGACGTCATCAGAATTGGAATGCTAGGTGATTAGGGAGCCTGCCTATATAGCTGCTTGTCTCTGCGCCCGGCTTCTTGAGTGTGTCATCGGCCCATTGATTGTGTTAATCTGCAACGTGCTAAGTTGATTCACATCCGGCAGCCTGTTGGTCGACCCGATAGTTCTGTTCAGATCATCCATTGTTTTTCTAGTGCATGTGCGGGCGCCTGGGGGCAGCTGTCAAAC